ATCTTAAGTTTGGTTTTAGCATATTTGGACTAACTTATTAGACTTTGTATGTTTATCCTGAACATTGTACCTGAATGCCACTGTCAGTCTCCTTTGTTGGTGTATGTTGAAGTCGTAGATGGTTGTTGTTGTTTGTTGTCAGGACATTAGCTGGATCAAGGCTGCTTTGGGGTTTGGCAGTGAAATCGGAGCACGCTCCACATGTTTCCATGGAGAACCCCCCCCCACCCATCCCAAGACACAACACAACACGTGACACCACACCTTCTTTCATATCCCCCTTCACATGCAAAACAAAGCTTGTATCGCCTGCCATATGTCCTTTCCTCCCTGTCACTCACAATGATCCATGGAGATTAGTTAATGATGACGTCTACACTCTAAAAAATGCTGGGTTGTTTTAACCCAACTTTGGGTCAAATATGGACTAACCCAGCCGTTGGGTTAAATTTTTACATTACATTTTTAACCCAACATTTCGGGTTTGTCCATATTTGACCCAAAATTGGGTTAAAACAACCCAGCATTTTTTAGAGTGTAATATCTTAGTAACTACAGTCTAGTATAGATGTTTTAGTTGTATTACGGCCGGACAGGTGGCTGCCCTTCAAATCTCTGTTTGTGTGACGCAAGCTACTTGCACCCAGTGCACCTTCAGACCCTTCATGACGCAGTTTTCCCTTATTTACACAGTCACAGCATGAATACTCTTTAACCTTACTCAGAATGACAGTGCAATCTAAACTTATGGTGTAACAAATAATATAGCATTCAGATGACCAATAGAAATAAAATAAAAATGACTGTAGTACTAATGGTTTTGTTCATGATCCAGCTTACAGTCACAGGCGATTCTGGTTACAGAATTAAAGCGCATGTTGTTACAGTTCATCAGTGTTTTTTTATGGATATAAAGTTAACCAGTTTATTAAAGGGTTGGTTCACCCAAAAATGAAAATTAAGTCATTAATTACTCACCCCCATGCTGTACCAACCCCGTAAGACCTTCGTTCATCTTCGGAACACAAATGAAGATATTTTTGATTAAATTTGAGAGCTGTCTCACTACCACATTGGCTGTAGTTACTTAAAAAACAGCCACATTGATTTTCGGTGGGTCCAAGAATGGGATCTTAATTGATCTCTGTCAGAGGAATCAGGGTCTTAGGACAATAGATCTGTTTAAAGCCCCTTTTACACAAAGATTCTGGAAAATACATGGATAAAGTGACCCGGGTTCGTTTGAATTTTGTTTACTCGCACTGCCAGTAATTTTTCGTAATCAGAGAGTGCGTTCACACACAACGTAAAAAAAATCCTGTAAAGACACTTGACATTGATGTGACATGTAATGTCTCAGTAGCATCTTAAGTTTGCTTATGAGCTGCAATTTCTCTCTCCAGAAACCATGCTTGTATTTATTTTTATAGCTTTTGTTCACACAGCGTGCGTTCCAGGAATGAACACAGCAATGTTACTAGTTTCCCAACCCGGCATCGATCCCCCTCATCAATCCCAGGTCGTGTTTGCGTTCACACAGAAGGTGTTCTGGCAATTTCCCGGAATTAACGCACTGTGTGAAAGGGCCTGATGTGTGTCTCTCCTGATCACCCCTTCCTCCTTTCAAGTTTTATCAAGTAAAAAAAAGTAATTTTTACATCATAACATAAAATTACATGTGAAAAAAAAAATGTATTCATATTGGATGTATATTGGATGTATTCACTTTTTTTTTTTTTTTTGTACAGTTTATTAATGTATGCTACCAGTCAAAAAAATGTTTGTGTTATAGGCTCAGTTTGCTCACCAAGGTATTATAGTACGTCCAGGGCGGGACTTAGGGGTTTGAGTCACTTTCGGGCCCTACCTTCTACACATTACTTTAAATAGAAGTAAATGATACATACTCAAGCTATTTATTAGAGCTACACAATTCTGGATAATTTGAGAATAAATATAGAGATCTCGATTCTGAACAAACAGCAACATAATTTATGTTAATTGCTGAAGTTTATTAATAATGTTTAATTGATCTGAATTATAAAAAAAAAAAAACTTGGGTTTGAATGATTCAATTCCTCAATCAACTACAATTGTTTCATAGATGAATCAGAATTTTTGAACGAATCTCTTGAATGAACGATTAAATGAGAAATGTTTTTTATTAAGTCATTTGTCGCTATCTGGTGGCATAACAATATGATGGATCCAATCTTTATTTGAAGTGCAAAGCTACGTTTAGAAGGTGACTGGTACCATAGCCAGTGTTATAATTTTTATAACGTAATCATTTATTTATATGACCACTGATTGAAGCTTTTTGAAGCTTTGAAGTTTTTTCCATTAAATAAATAATGACTAAAGTTCAAAGTGATCATGTGTTTTGCAATGTACAAATGTCTTTTGTCAGAATGAGAATAAAATACTTATTTGCCTGGAAAACATATTGAAAAACAAACAAATACCCTGTAAGGTTGCAATCATAACAAATCATTTGTATTACATATAAATAGTTAAATCTATGAGTGTATAAATCTTTAAAAAAAACTGTTACTGGTAAGTGTTCGCATTTATGAGGAAAAAACAAAGTTACAGGCATTACAGTTCTCCGTTACGGACGCGAGCGCTCTGAAGTGGCACTTAAGACTGCTTTAAAACTTTCACAGACCTCAAACAGAAAAGCAAAAAGCATTCTTTAAAGTGAATTTCGTTTTGTATAAATTTTATCTTTATTTTAATCAATGTTTCATCAACCAATTGCCTGGATTTAATAAATAAGAAGTAAAAGCAGACAATTATAGATAATCACGACACGTAGGCGCCGATGCATGAACTGGAGCGCGTCTCATAAAAACACCGATACTCAGCGCATAAGTAGTAGGCTATAGCCTACTCCACAGACCTGAAACATAAGCTACTGAAATTACATTTTTCATTGCAGGGCAGGGCCAGGTAACAATGCTAGACCAATCAACAAACTTTAAATGAAAGTTTAAATGACTGACATATTATTTACAAAAATCAAAAGTAAACGGGCGGGGGGGCCCATTGGCTCGAGCCCAGTCAAGCCCAATGGTAAGTCTCGCCTTGAGTATGTCGCACTGCTTGCATTTTCATGTCGTTTACCCTTTACACATCAGATGAGCTCTACAACAGTGTGGAAATGGACCTTGATGTATGTCATATATATAATAACAATTAGGTTGTCTCATCTGTTAAAATGCTATCAAATTTCAAAAACATTTTACAACCCCTATTTTGGTATTTGAAATGACAGTAAGCATTCGCTTTAGAAGTGGAGTAATTCAGGTCCACCTCACTCTAAAGGCTAATGAATGTTCTATACCAAGATGAACAAACAACTTGTGATCTGCTGAGCGAAATGACACCTTGAAATGAAATATTGCAGCTGTCTGTGTACTTATGAAGAGATGGCTTTGGTGAGGGAGAGGCTTTGTGACGGCTGTCTGTGTGAGTGACATCAGATGTGTCTGCATGTTCACTATGTTACATGTTACATGTCTTTTATATTTTTACATCTTCGTTTACGTTTGTGATACCCATCTTCTCTCATTAGTCAAGTAGGTCTGAATCACTATACTTGGTTGGCATAAGCAAATAGAAGTTCCTGAAAGCTCTGCCAAGTAGGCTGTTAAGCCCCCTGTATGCTTGTGTGAGAATTAAGCGGTTTGACTGGTGTGATTTGGTGGTGTGCAAAAAGAGGAATCCTGAGACCTCTAAGCCAGCTATCTGGACAAGAGGGGACGCTCTGCCCCCCATCCCAGAGGGATTCTTTCCACTGCTTGTCATACATAGCTGGTGTAGTATCCCATGAGTCATTTTCTTTGTGCTTTCCATTTTATACTCATTCAATCAAGTGCTTAAGTGTGAATTAACATGAATATTATTCCAGAGTTTCCTTTATAATAGGAAGCATCTTGTGTTCCTCATCTCATAGAGGCCTAATATTAATTTATAATTTAAAGCTATCTACCCATCATCCTAACCTAAACCTATCATCCTAAATGCAAAAATATCAGAAACATGAGTCTTCAAGAGTCTGCAAGTCTCTCTCAGTGAGTTGAAAGAGGGCTATTTTTACCCTCAGAAGATACTAGCTTTACGAGTGGACTACATTCTGCTGTCAGTGACGTTTCAGTCAGGTCTTGGGATTGAGAGTCTATATTTGACATTTTCAATGTCATTGCTCTTAGCATTTATAAAACACAGCTCAATTTTCCAGGGCTCTGTATGTGAGTTGGGAGTGAAATTGGCTGTTAACTTTTTATGCAACCATATAAATGTTATGTATATGTTTTAAAAGGTCATCCGTTTAAAATATAGAAAGGCCATTTGGGCTAGTTGCCTACAGTAAATTCCATGCTGTATTTTGTAAAAAAAAAAAAAAAAAAAAAACGGGACGTGTGAAATTTAAATCGTTACAAATGGATAAATGAGGTCATTCATGAAACTCATTAAAAGAGTATCACTCCATCATTTCAGTGTGAAAACTAAATAAAGTATTAAGCAATTTAAATCCCATTTCCTTAGAGGATGATCATCTAAAGAAATCGGCACAATCTTATACATTGTGGACTGGAATCTGATCAGTTTTGTCAGGATTGTCTGATCATCCAGTTCCTTGACTTGCATATTACTTTGTTACCCCTAGAGGGAGGCAAAACACCAGAAATCCTTTCAATGACACCTGTTCATATGTGGTTGTTCTACACTTTTAAACTGTACACACACACACACATACACACACAGTAGTGTATATATAATTAATGTGCCCCCCCCCCATATGTCATATTATTTTGTGCTTTTAACACACACACACACACACACCGTAGTGTATGTATATATATATATATATATATAATTAATGTGCTCCCCCCCCCCACCCCATATGTCATTATTTTGTGCTTTTATTTTATTATTAATAATAATGTTTTTCACAAACTTCAGATTGTAATGCTTATTTCCATCCTATCTTGTAGATGCTTCATGACTGTCCCAAAGCTAGACGAGAGGTGGAGATGCACTGGCGGGCTTCCTCCTGTACCCATATTGTCAGAATTGTTGACGTCTATGAGAATCTCTATCAAAACAGGAAGTGCCTTCTTATTGTAATGGAGTGGTGAGTCATCATCATCATCATCATCATCATCATCTTCTGCTGTCTTCAGTATAGATATCAAAATGCCCTGTATTTTTTTTTGTGGTCATTTCCACATTTTACTTCCTTTTTATAATCACTTTCCATTCATAAGCAATTTACAATTCTATGAATATGAATGTTCCATCTTCTTCATTCAACAGTTTACATAGAGCAACCCTAGATTATGATATTTGCTCCATGGTAAATGCTGATCAGCACTATGGTCAGGCCCTGTATTTATTTCCTGGATCATCCCTATTTGCCGTTGTGGCCCTTATCCATCTGGCTGTAAAACATGTTAGTAAAATTTGCATTTGTTTCTGCCATGAATACAAGTTAAATATTGACATTAAGATTTTTTTATGTACCAGTACAGTCATTATTTTGGGAACAAAACGTCAAGTCAATTGAACGGTTTTAATATTTGGCTAGTCACAGTTTGAATAAATATTTCATGAGCAATATAATGACTTGACATTTGCATTGCACTGAGCATTGTGTCTTTGCATTGTCATGAAAACCTTGATTCATTCAGTTACTTTTTTACACAGCCCCTTAACGCATTTGTAATGTGTTGTCAAGGTTTCGTTGCCTCATCCGTGTAAAAAGTTTACCAGCAGGTGTTTGGAGGTTACTTACGGTAAACACTAATTCACCTATTTGCCCCTGTCATGTTTGAGTGAATTGAAAATTCCCTTGTCTGATGACGTGCTTGCTTAGTTGGTAACCTCTTCATCATATAGACTTTAAGTTGCATAACCAGATACTGTTGTTTCCCACACTTTGCAACATGTATGCTATTGCTCGCTGGTACCAAACTTCTCAGTCAACCACCATTGTGTGGTCCTTAGCAAGGCAGTTGAACCCAGATTTCTTCATTGGGACGGCCCCTGCTGTAATCAAAATGCAAGTCGCATGGATGCAAGTTCTCATATGATGACACAAAATAATAATGATTTGGTTAAGTCTTCAATAATTACTTAATTTGCAAACTACTGATTTGATTATTTAGAAGAGTTTTGTGAGGAAAGAATAGAACGAATTTTTATTTTTTTTTTTAAATGGAAATGTTCATTTATAGATCTATTATTAAGTCAGAGATTTTAAAGGGATAGTTCACTTTGAAATTAATTTTTGATAAGTTTTTGCTTACCTCAAGGGCATCCAAGATGTTGGTGTCTTTTTTTTCCACAGTATTTTCAATTTTGATATTTTTAGGTCAAACCGTTCTTGTCTGTCAGTCATATAATGGAGGTGTATGGGGTCCACCTCAAAGAGTCCAAATTAAACATGATTTAATGACTTGTAAATGTAAGTACACATTGATGGCCTAAGACACGAAACGAGCAGTTATCAGTGGCCCCGTTCACACTGCAGACAAAAGTGGCCCAAATCGGATTTTTTTTGGGGTCAAGTGACCAGGTCAGACTTCTTCAGAGATAGTGTGAACAACACTCAAATCTTTCCCAGATCTGATCTTTTTAAATCAGATTTAGACCACATTCATATGTAGTCCTGAATCAGATACAGATCAGATTTTTTTGAATGTGTCCGCAGTGTGAACAACCATGGCGGATTTAATGCGACTCTGACATCTACATCTGATATTTGACATAATTATGCGCTGGCGAGTATAAGCACTAGACACAACAGACACAGACAGTAACATTAAAAACTTAAATACATATGGAGAACAGTGATGATGGAGCGAGTCAATGAAATTAATATATGGGCTAATTAATAAATAGCCAATTTTGCTTTCTTTCTCTTCATTATTCTCCTCACATTAGTGCAACAGTGTGCTGCGTAAAGTGCGTATGTCATTGTTGTAAAAACAATATAAATACTGTTCGTTTTCTCACACAAACTGCTCGTTTCGTGTGTTAGGCCATCATTTACGAGTCATTAAATCATGTTTAATTTGGACTTCTCTGTGCATGCTCAGAGGTGGACCCCATATACTTCCATTATATGATTGACGGACAAGAACGGTTTGACTTGAAAATATCAAAATTGAAGACGCACAAAATATCAAAACCAAGACACCTACATCTTGGATGCCCTTGAGGTAAGCTAAAACATTTTAAAAAATTATTTTGTGAGAATTTTGTGAGTAGATTTTACATGTTGTACGTATTAAAGCTTCAATCTGATGCACGTTGACAGGTCAAAGTTAAGAGCTCCAAAACCTTTTCTATGTCCAGAATAAATCTGTTGAAATTGCAGTACTGTTTTTTTTTTTTTTTTTTTTTTTAAACGGGTATATAGACCTATTTACAATATATCCACAATGAGGTACGTAGCAGGCAATATAAAATAAAGTCCCCATGAAATCAGAATTTTAGTATGAATGTTGCATTCATACTAAAATACTGTTTTAGTATGTATATACTAAATACTGTTATATATTGTTTGTACAAAGTTAATATGATTGCCGTAAAATGCATCCTAAGATCAAAACATGTCAATTTGTAGCAATTTTTTTTTATCATATATATCATCATGAAATTAAATTACTCATTGTAACATATATCGAATTATATAAGATTATAAGATTTTTTTTGACCATATCGGCCAAAATTGGAATATTTGCCCAAACCTTGCACGGAATACATAATATTTGCATGGTTGAACTTTTACTATTAGTATCTTTAGTATTGCGTTTATGCTGATTATTGTCTTCTTGTATGTTAATTCATGACACCATTTTGTCTAGATGCAACATGATTTGGTTAGCAGAACTGCATGCTTTCACTGAAAAGATCAAAGTGATGTGCTTGTGACCTTGAACCATATCAGATATGATGATGTGAGAAATAAATCACACCTCCCAGTTTCCATTCATTTGCTTGTGCAAATAAAAGATGACTAGGACATTTTCTTGTCTTGTAGTAGGAAGTCAGAAACTGCACCTGTCACCACAGTTTGTTTTATTTTGTTTTAGTCTAGGGATGGGACGATTACCTCTATAAACCACTAGAAATGTACTGGTTGGTATCATTGTTTAAAATGTAATTATCATTAAAACTGTGTTTGATTATCACAATATTAATAACTCACTATAAATCATGTCCACAGTCTGATGCAGGCGTGCAAAGTTTTTTTTTTTTCGACAAGGAATGGCGGAATGCAGTGACCGTGCTTGGGAGATTTTTCAGTCTTTTAAGAGAACCAAATATGAGGTGTGGTCATATTTTGGTTTTTATTAAAGTCCTGAGGGAAACTTAATCGAGGACGGTCACCCTGTCTGCCGAACATGCACAACAAACTCGCTGTAATAAGGGGAAACACTTCAAATCTGCCGATCATCTTGTGTGACCATCATCCAATGTTGTGATTTCATTTAAAACAATCAAAAACGAAGACACAAGACTCAAGAAGGCAAGTTGTATTTAAATGAAATGAGAGAGCGCGTGATGCATGGATGTGCTGTGTAATAATGCCTTGCTATTGACGACGGACATTATAAAGAAGGAAATGCCACAGAATAGAATCTTGCTTTAAAAAGTGCATAGAGCTGCTTGTTTTATTTGTTTGTAGATTTATTAAATATAAACCTTTTAAAAATGTTTTCAGTGTGGGCATAAGTTGTTCTTGAACACTTTCATCTCATTTTAACAAAACTGTGCTAAAACTGATAATCAATAATTTTGGTCACTATAATCATGATTTGAAATTTTTATATCGTCCCATCCCTACTGAGGTTCCTCAAAATATCTTCTTTTGTGTTTAGCAGAAGAACGAAATTCATAGAGGTTTGGAACAACATAAGGGTGTATAAATTCCAAAAATATAAATTATTTTTGGGTGAACTATCCCTTTAAATGCCACAAATGCTACAATAATAAATCAGTGTTCAATCTTATTATTAAGAGTAATATTGTTTAATGGATGATGCAAGATTTCATACATCATTTTGATGTAAGATAGGGAAGTGTAGTATTTCTTTAGAAACCGTTGCTTCTTTCCCTGATTGTATGACCAAAATGAGCGAGTGAGTAGCTTCCTGACATGAGTGATAGTGTGGTATTTGTGGCTCATGGGATATCATTTTAAAGAATCATCAATATATCACTGCTGTTAGTCATAGTACGAATCTTAAGATAAGTTGGCTGAAGCTATATCATAGACTATAGAAGAATATGAATGGATTACAAGAAATCAGGCTATAGGCATCTCACCTCGCAGGAAACAGAATCTACAGGTCATCAGAACTGAGTGTGCGGCAAGTGGTGGAAATGGAAAATGCCAACGCTGTTTTTCAGCTTCAAATATGGCTTTTCTAAGAAAAATTGCACACAGAAATTGTTGCAACCCAACGCTATAGTGGGGCTTTAGTGGTTTTCACCATAAATCACATGCCTTTCGATATTCAGCACTTAACACTCTTTTTTTTATCTATGCTTTCAGCTATAGTGTATATATATATATATATATATATATATATGATTGTCTGAGAGACAAAGTGTCTGGGAATTAGTGAGATTGAAAGTGGTGAAACGTGTTGTGGTTGTTCATAGCCCCTTCTCACAGTGAGCCGTCTAAGTCAAACTCATAGTGCGTTTTTCTATCTCTGTCAGGCGTTTGATGATTTCACGTGAAACTGACTGCAGTTCTTGGTGAGCTGTGGAAATGAAACTCGCCTCTCACGCCGTGGGCCATAGTGTGGGGATATGAGAACAGTATGATTCCTTGTATTTGCATAGATGTACTTGGTTATCAGCACAGTGTGCACTCCTTTCAATTTTATTACCATGCTTAATTGCAATAATGGGGTTTATTTTTAAGGATCCCATTAGCTGAAGTCTGTACAGTCAGCTAGTCTTCCTGGGGTCCATTCTAAAAATTTACATTACAACAACAACATTTCAATCATCACAGTTATCATATACACATTTCATATATATATACATACATACATAAACACACACACACACACACACACGTACATGCATACAATTTCTAATTTCAATTCATGACCAGACGAAAAATACATTTACAATTATCATAATCAAAAAAAAAAAAAAAAAGAAAAGAAAATATATAAAAACCTACATCAACACATAGCACCTTAGACTTCTTTTAAATGACAGCTTATTACAAATCTGACGAACTTCAATGGGAATATTATTCCAGATGACACAAGCTCTATACAGGACGGTTTTCTTCATAAAATCGTTTTTGGATAGGGGGTCATTATGTGACCGTTATAATGGATGCGCAATAACCAATTAAGTAGACTAAATATTGTTTTTTGAGTCATTGTCCCATTAACAAAATCATAACCATGCAGTCTTATGCTGATCCCTCTCCTTTGTGTCCCTTTTATCTCTCTTCACCCATCGTCCCCTCTTCTGTTAAGAGAAAGTCTTTCTAAGCCAAATGACCCAATTTCTCGCAACTGGCAAGTTTTCAAGAAATGGAGCTCACCCGACTTGCACATCTAACAGTGGTTTGCGTTTGTCGGAAATAACCACAATGATCGCATGGGGACAAAGGTGAAAAGATCCCCCCTTCATGTGGTTTTATATGTATGTGAACAAAGTAAATTGTATATGAGTTTCAGAGGTAGGTCCGCACTTATCTTGCAGTTTAACATAATAATAATAATAATAATAATAAAAAAAAAATCTTTAGAAGAAACATTGCCACAGCTACTATTTCAAGTCCACTTTGGCTGAATTTACTGCTACTTAATTTTCAAATGTTATCAATAATAATGAATAATTATTAATAATTGTAATAATACAATTTTACTTTTCCCCCCACTTAACTATGTCTTAACATCACATAATAGTTTACTGTCTTTAAATAATCGAACAAAAAATATCTCCACCAATATGAAGCTATTTGTATTTTGTAATATGCCCGCTGATTTTTGCTTTTAATGTGTTTTAAAGCATGGATGGGGGTGAGCTGTTCAGTCGGATTCAGGACAGAGGGGACCAGGCATTCACTGAGAGAGGTAAGTTGTCTACTCTTACATTGCAAAGCATATGAAACAACTAAAATAGTAATTAGGCCCCTTTTCACAATACTGAACAGTCTGTCTGATTACTTATTCCATTGTCTTTTCAGAGGCTTCTGATATCATGAAGAGTATAGGAGAGGCCATTCAGTATTTACATGCGATAAACATTGCACACCGAGATGTCAAGGTAAGAGTCTTATGATGACCACTATTGAAGTGATGGGAAATTGTTTGACTTCCTCATTTTCTTAACTGAATATGCCTGTAAATCCACTTTGCAGCCAGAGAACCTCTTATATACCTCTAAAAGGCCCAATGCCCTTCTCAAACTGACAGACTTTGGGTTTGCAAAGGAGACGACCACACACAACTCTCTGGCGACCCCTTGCTATACTCCTTATTATGTTGGTAAGAATATCATAATCATCACTACTTAGATGTTGATAATTAGATGTGTTCCCACTCGTGAAAGCTTTCCATCTTTTCATGTTATAGCCCCAGAGGTTCTCGGTCCAGAAAAGTATGACAAGTCCTGTGACATGTGGTCTTTGGGTGTCATCATGTATATTCTGTAAGTGAATCTGTTTCGTATGTTGTAATGTGCACACACCATTTTTTCTCTGTCTAGGCCTTTATTTAAATGGGTTTTGTGACTCCTGACCTTGTGTCTGATATAGTGCAATTGTAACTTTATTCAACTTCCAGGCTCTGTGGTTACCCACCTTTCTATTCCAACCATGGATTGGCTATATCCCCTGGTATGAAGAAACGAATCCGTATGGGACAATACGAGTTTCCAAATCCTGAGTGGTCGGAAGTCTCAGAGGAAGGTATCTGTCAAGTTCCTGTTTTGTGAAAGTGAATTGAGAAACCGTTCCTAGAATACTTTCATCTTCAAGCCATTTGCGTTGCACATTTCTAAGAATGATTATAGATTTGAGTGACTCAGTCTTCCTATTTTAGCTAAACAGCTCATCAGAACATTACTGAAAACTGAGCCAACACAGAGGATGACCATCACTGAGTTCATGAACCACCCCTGGATCAATGTGAGTGAATATTAAAACATTATTTTACTAACACTGTTGATTTAGACAAATGGATTTCCTTTGTACATTATATTTGGCTTACTATGTTATACGGTGCTTTGCGTGGCTATAGCAGTCAATGGAGGTACCGCAGACGCCCTTACACACCAGCCGTGTTCTGAAAGAAGAGAAAGACACATGGGAGGATGTCAAGGTGAGGAAAAAAAAGGCTTTTTAGAACATCTAACCATTTTCAGAACATTTTTTGCAATCACTGCACTTCAGATCCATATCGTCATTCTAATTAATGTTAATATGTCTGTATTCCACAGGAGGAAATGACCAGTGCCTTGGCGACGATGAGAGTCGACTATGAGCAAATTAAAATCAAGACGATTGAAGACTCGTCCAATCCGCTGCTGATGAAGAGGAGAAAGAAAGCTAATAATATGGCTCCTGAAAATGAGACGCCTGCTTGCTAAGGACACGTTCACTCTGTCGCACATGCGCACACACACATTTTACACTCTTATATTAGTTGAAAAGTTTGATTTAAGGAAGCAATAACTCCGTTAAAACGAGTTTTTTTTATATGTATTTCTTTTTAATCACTCTACATCTGTAACTAATACACCCCTTTGCTACCAAAAGAGAGGGGCTGTACAATTATGAAACAAGACTATACAAATTAGAGTTGTGAAGCAGCCGACATCCACTTATTTGCTCCTTACAGTGTTCATGAGTTCTGTTTTTCACATGGTGTTTAGTGGGGTAATCAGAATGCTAATTTAGTTACCTTTCTTTTGCATTTTATTTTTCCTTTTTCTGTTTGTTTTATTTTTTTTTTTTAAATCAAAAGCGATTGGTACATGAGTTCATGAGTTATACACAGATTTACCACTGTTTGTTTTAATGATGTTCCATTCGGAGTTATAGGACCTCTTGTAAAATAAGTTGCCCTGTAATAGCACGATTAATCAGTTTCCTTTGTGCTGCTCATGTTCTGAGGAGCTTATGCATAAGCGCTAGCTTTCCTGTTTGTTCTTCATTATGTTTGTTATTCATTTCTGCTCTCGAATGCTCTTTTACAGTAAGACTAGTTCCAAGAGACACTATCAGTGTCCAGATGAAAATGTATTTCTGAAATGACTCTTTGAATGTAAACGCACTCTGTTCTTTACTGTGAAATTGTCTGTCAGTATTGTTCAGGGTCCTCTCTAGTAAAATACAATATCTTCTTTTGAGCTTTAGATCCAATTAGCCTTATGTTGGTTATCAGATTGAGAGGAAAAATATCACATTGCTCCACTTTCACATTGATCAAGCTGACCATGGAAAGCCAGTCTGGCACATTTTTTCTGCCTTTGCTTAATTCATGCTTGGAAATACGTTAAGTGCACACTGCTTTGATTTGCCTTGAATCAGTCCTATGCATATTTGTTACCAGAGATTTGTAAAGAATGTTAACCTATATTCTGGCATTTAATTTCACAAATACCTACTAAAATAATCAGCAGACATATGTAGTCTACTGTTTTTTCACCCACCACCCTGAACAGCAAAGCCCGTTTGTATTTTTTTAAGTGTATAATGAATGAATTATGAAACGGGATCTTTGTGAGAGTGATCAGGATGGTTGTTCTTTTGGCTGTAGAATGAACATATGTGATAACCGTCAACCGTGCTCTTCGTTATGCCAGTGTGTTTTTGTTTGTGTTTTGTGTGCTTTCCAAGCCTACCATGCAGTAAGTATTTGAATGTGAGCAGCTTTAGGTACCAGATGTTTTATAAAGGAACAAAGAAATGCCCCCTGTGACTTAAGGCCTCATGTTCTGGAAATGTTTAAGGGAATCTTGCACATACACACAGATTGATTTTAGATGCAATGATTGATGTAATTTGAAAGGTTGTGGCTTGTTTTATTTTTCCTATTTAGTCTTTTTTTTTTTTTTTTAAAGAAAAAAACAACAACTGTATACTTAATATTTGTCATGTGATTGATCCTCTTTTTTTAAAGGACATGATTTACTGCTCACAATGTTGAATATGCAGAGTATACTCTCAAACAGCAGATATCTCTCAACCGATTTCAGCGCCCCTCTTGAAGATAGTGCATCTTTTTATTCAGTCTGGAAACTTGATTCCCTCATGCATTAATTTTTCAAAGCAAAGACTACAGTATCATAGGTTGGAAAAACAGACTAGAATTTTATACTAACAGGGAAATGCAGATATTTGTCTTGTTTCTAGTATCTGACTGCTGTACGTATGTCTTGGTGTGCTTCAACTTTGGATTAAAACACCAAAAAACTCACCTGCCTGTGTCTCATTTAAACATGTAGATTTATGTTAATACCACCAATCCTAGTTTCTGTATTTTCACAAGTCTTTGTTTTTTTATATTCTCATACTAACTTGGCTCTTAAAACCTCTCATTTACTTTATGAAATTGATCATGCAAATCATGTAATCATTCTCATCTCCCCCAAACCACTGAATAAATGGCAGATATCTTAATAACTGATTTCACATTTTCTCATCCTCTGTTAACCTTTCCAGCATTACTGGGATTTTTAAATGGCCTAAGATGACCTTTTTTCATGCAAATGCTGCATTTAAAAAAAAAAGAAAGAAAAGGCCATCTTAGGCCATTTAAAAATCCCACTAAGGCTGGTTCCCTTAAAGGGATAGTTCACACCCAAAATTAAAATTCTGTTATCAATTAATCACCCTGAAGTTGTTTCAAACATGTATGAATTTGAACAGTTTATGGCCCCCATTGACGTCCATAGTATGGAGGTGAAAAACAATGCAAGTCAATGGGGCCCCCATCAACTATTTGAACTACTTCAAAATATTGTTTGTGTTCAGTAGAAAAAAATAATTAACAATAATTTGGGACAACCTGAGGGTGAGTAAAAATGTCCTTCAAGAGACCTTTTTGCGCGCAGTTAGCCAGTTGTACAATACGGTACATTACTGGCAAGTACAGGTCCTTCTAAAAAAAAAATAGCATATTGTGATAAAGTTCATTATTTTCCATAATGTAATGATAAAAATTAAACTTTAATATATTTCAGATTCATTGCACACCAACTGAAATATTAAGGCTGCTATCGAAGTTGAGCTGTCAACGGGTTTACTGCTAACTACTGAAAGCATTCTATTGAGTTAATATGAATAAGTTAACAGTTAACGTTAGATATGAATGGGCTATATGCACGCATAAATTCCGCATTTGACGCAAGGAGGCTCGTCCATTTCCGGTTGTGGAGATTAAAGCGGAGGAAACCCGAGGAAAACGGGATTATGGCAGAGTCTTCAAAATTTACTGTCCTTCCGTCTTTGAAACAACGTACGTTTAGATGTAATTTTATATATAGTTATGTTTATTTAATATAATTTTAAAAAGAAGCATAAACACAAGAAGTGGTGTCTGTTTTATCTGTTTTTGTGACTAACGTTTCTTTAGTATAACCATGGATAAAATTCAATATATATTCTCGGTATTGCATTGGACTCTACGATCGGCGGAAGTTATCGAGCATCGTTACACCTTCACCGGAAATACCGCCGTGCATATATTCAGGCCAAATGGTGATAATACTACCGGATCATTTGAATATGAACAGCTCACGCGCGTGTGGGCATCGCCGCATTCGCCAATCAGCTCGGCCTGGAAAACTGAACATGTCGTTGCTTTCATACGGATTACTTAACCACAGAATATTTGTTTTTGGTATGATTTACATCATTTAAAAATGGAGACTTGAAGCTTTGTAAGACATAACTCTGACGTGTGTGTGGCAAGTATTTGCTGACTTAAAGATCAGTTTATGTCACGTTTCAGAATGAACTTCAAATTGAGAGAGAAGGGAGAACGCGCATCATGTTTATTTTCATTATTTTACGAAAAACACAACATTTTGTTTTTAATATGAGTGCACAAAAATAAACGAAGACATTTAACAGTTTTGAATGATGTGTGACACTTTTATGTAAGATCAAATTCAACAGAGTAATTTGAGTCTCTTTTGCACTGATAAGGAAAAAAGTGAGCTGAGCTGGCATCGGCGGCGATACGGTCGGGATCAGCACTCCAATTTACTGCAGTCAGCTGAGCTCATAGGCCTATGGATCTATGTTCTGAATGGATGACAATTTCTCCAAATAAAGGTACCTGCCATATTTATTGAGTTTATTGCGTTACGGCATTTTCTCAGTTTTCTTGTGCTTCTGCAGTTTTCCGAGTTATTTACATTTTATCTATAGACCATTTCACAAGATGTAAACAACACTGGTCCAGAAACACTTCCTGTTTCAGTTTGTAACTGTTTTCTTTATTTCACATGTAAATAAAACATCTTAAAGATGTTTGTTTAACTTTTTGATTCAGTTTTAAATGTTCTGTTGGTTGTATTTTATCCCAGCTTTTATGTAGTGTTAAAAAACTGAAACAGGAAGTGATTCTGGACCAGTGTTGTTTACATCTTGTGAAATGGTCTATAACTGTTACTCTCAAAGCTCACAGTCAGTAGATACCTCAAAAATGGCTCCGCGGTGACGTCACACACACAACAAACCCATGTGTCTGACAAAAAACCGATAAAACGTGTTAAGCCCACTTGGATTCTAGCTATCGAGAGTGAGACTGAGTCATGCCAATGTATAAGAAATTATTCATCTTCATGTTCTTAGTATATTACAACTAAAGGGTAATCACCCTTCCTGATTCATACTTCACCCGGGCAGGAAATTAATGATAAAACAAAAAAACTTTGGTTCACTTTAGAGGTCGACGAATAATGAATTTTCAAGATATCGTAATTAAGTTCGCAGTACCTGCGGATAACTGATGAAGTAGCAGATAGTTATACAAAACATAACACTCAAGGTAAAATAGTCCTGATTCTGAACTTTGTCACAAAAATAATTAAACTATTGACTTATGCATGAAAATGTATTAAACTTTTAAATAAAATTAAATTCATTTTATTAATTAAAACATTCCAAGTCAAATGTGTGTTTTTAGCAATAACCTAGGAACATGGCATGTAAAAGTAACATTTCACAATAAGAAACCATTTGTTAACATTAGTTAAATCATTAGCTTTCATGAATTAGAAATATTTTTTTACAGCTTTCATTAAAAAATCATTACAATATCATTAAACAACAATTAACAAATCAATCTGTTGACAGACACAGATTTAACCCACCAATTTGATTTGGCAGTTTTGGGTGATTAAGGGATAGTTCACTTTGAAATTAATTTTTGATATGTTTTAGCTTACCTCAAGGGCATCCAAGATGTAGGTGTCTTTGTTTCATCACTTCCGGCGGAACTTTGAACACGGTTCAGTTCGGTTCAGTTGGACATCTGATTCAGATCAATTCGACAGCTGTTAACAAGAAGTACAAACTATATAAATACTGTTCGTTTTCTCACACAAACTGCTCATTTCGTGTCTTAGGCCATCAGTGTGTACTTACATTCACAAGTCATTAAATCATGTTTAATTTGGACTTGTCTGTGCATGTTCTTTGAGGTGGAACCCCTAAACCTGCATTATATGACTGACAGACAACACCAGTTTGACCGAAAAATGTCAAAATTGAAAATACTGTGGAAACAAAGACACCTACATCTTGGATGCCCTTGAGGTAAGCTAAAACATATCAAAAATTAATTTCAAAGTTAATCCCTTTAAGGATGGCTATACGGTATAGAAAAAAGCTTTATAATTTATTAAAACTGTTTTAACAAAGGGTAATTGGTATTAGAGTAATTGGTCGATTATTGTAACGAGTAATCGAATATTTCTTTGTGGTAATAATCAACAAAAAAATCCCTCTAAGACACATATTACTTACATGCATGGAAAAAATTAAAGTGCATGTATATCAAACCCGCAGTGCATATATTTAGCCTTGTTGAATAGCACTATGCCCCCCCCCCCCCTGCCATTTTCCAGACCTGATTTGATACAAACAATTCTGAGTATCTACCTTTACCTATCCAATACCAGTGCAGTTTTTTTTTTCAAATGAATGTAATTTCTATACCTCTGTGTGTTGAACTGATATTCACTCTTTTGTGTGTTACATACACACAATGAAGAAAAACAATAAATGAAAAAATATATAATCATAATCTATGACAAAAATACTACTGCTCGCCACCGTAAACATAATGAATGACAACTGTAGAACGCAAAAGCCGAATCCCGGACATTTTGGGCGATCTCGAAATTCCGGGCAGACTCACTAGTAGCCTAGACTCGTTGTTTAACTACTGTGCTGTTACGGGTAGGCGTGGCCTCCTAGGGCAGCGAAACAAGTGCATTCTGGGAGTTGTTGTCATTCATCCACATAAGCCAAAAATACATTTTCTGGCTTTTCTCAGTCTAGAAAGCTCCAAATTCAAAACTAATTTCACATTTCTTCTACATAAATGACCCATTTTAAATACATATTCATCTTTCCAGAGGTGAAGTATCCCTTTAATTATCTTTCATTGCACATAAGTATTATAGCTACGGTATATGAACGGCTCCAATACAGAGCAGCATAAAGTGCTTATGCGCAGACATAAATAATATGGAAAACAATGTGGACTTGAAACAATATGGAGTCACAGCGCACAGTGCTCCACTCTGAAAAGTTCAAAGCAAAAGGAAAGAGATATTGATGTGTAGTGTATTGTATCTATGCTTTTAAAATCTTTTTATTTTAGTTACTGTGCTCATGAAGAACAATTCATAGTTCATAGCTCTACTCCAGTGTGGTCATCTACCAGGCACAGGTAGAAAGTAACATGATTTAGAAACAGCAATAAACTTCAGCATAGTCCTTAAAGGGTTAGTTCACCCAAAAATGAAAATTAAGTCATTAATTACTCACCCCCATGCCCCATTTCGTCGTGGAAATCTAAGGAAGTCTCGTTCTGGCCTACAAGGAAGAAAAGAAATAGTCGAATAAACTCGTTATTTTTGTTTGTTTTTTCGCACAAAAAGTATTCGCGTCGCTTGATAAACATATAGTTGAGCCACGGTAGTCACTTGGGATATTGAAACATTTTCTTCATTGACTTTCTGGGCCGTCAAGAGGCAGTCCTTTAGGAGCCAATGTGGTAGTGAGACAGCTCTCAAATTTAATCAAAAATATCTTCATTTGTGTTCCGAAGACGAACGAAGGTCTTACGGGGTTGGTACAGCATGGGGGTGAGTAATTAATGACTTAATTTTCATTTTTGGGTGAACTAACCCTTTAATGCAAAACCCATAGACTTTACAGATCATGTATAATAATAGG